TTATCCAAGTTCTTTTTTAAAATAATATGACATAAATTTATTATATGCAAAATTAAATATTTAAGAATGTATTAACACAAATTCAAAAAGCAGGCCGATGATATTATTATATGACCTACAAATAAATATCAATATGAATATAATATTATTGTGATAAAATTAATAAAAGCACTAATTTCTATCAATATTTTAAATTCTAAACCCAAACTTAATTTCTACTGTTTAGTATGTGATTGAACAAATTTATAATTTTAAATTTGGATACAGCTCTCTATATTGAAAAAATACTTTAATCAATGAGATTTTTTTTAAATAAAATCAATGAATTATATATTATTATAAAATATCATAATACTTTTCAACGGAAAGATTTAAAATTTTGAATTCTTGGTTTTTTAATTACACAATATTTAATCAATTAAATAAATAAATATTCTTAAAAAAAAAAAATGAAAACTACAGAAATTTATTATTAAGTTGAAAAATAGAAAAGAAGATATAATGATATAGAAAAGAATTAAAAAGTGAAGGACGTGACAAAAGCTGTCTGGCTGGGCTTTTCAGGGTCAACCAACATGTTAATTATTATTAATTATTTTCTTTAATAAAAAGAAGTGAAGAATCCAAAAGGTTCCCGTTCTTGATTACGCTTTGTTTAAAGTTTATTATATTGGCAATTAAAAGATCGTAAAGTTATGGTTATGGTTGTCGCTTTTGACGAGTGAATCTAGTAGATGATGAAATTGACCATGCTCTCGAAGAATAATGTTAAACACTATGTTTTTCAATTCTTTTTGGCATAGAAGAGTTAAAAGTTGTTCCATATATAACTTTTTTTACTTCATTAAGTTTATTGATTCACATTCTCTCTCACGCCTATTGTGAAATGATATACACATAACATGACAAGATACCGATGGATATAGATACATCTAGTGAGCGCCCGCCAGATGAATATGACCAAAGCAAACCTCAAGATCTCACTTTCTCTTACTCACTCAGCTATATCATATGCTTGAAGCTACGAAGAGATGGAAATAATTTATAGAACCATTCTTGTTAATGGAATAAAACTTTACTATCATAACATGATAATTCGCCTAAAATGGAAACTAGGCCACCGGTCAAAGCAAACTTGTACATAAACATAGCTATATCAAAACCCAAATAAGACATAGGATGGAAAAAACTTGGTTTCAATGTCTGCTAACCTTTGCTGTCGAATGAATTTCAGCAATGTCTGCTAACTTAGAACTTCTGAATCACAACAGAATTGGCTATTCCAGCTTGTTCTATAGTTTGATCCAATACAGCCAACTGTTTGGGAGGGAAACCCATCGTCTGGAGTTGGTAATTTCTTGCACCAGTAGGCCTTGATGCATCAATGAACCCACGAATGTCCCTGATCGTATGGTGGTGATTGAAACGCGACACCATTCGTGTCCCGTCTGCCAACCTCAGCTGAAGAGAAGTTATTGGCAACGAGTCGTCTACCACCAAACCTGTTGATGGGGACGGAGCAACATTCAGTGAAGTAGCAGCAGAAGTCAGCTCAGGAGCAACCGAGTTTGGTGAGTCACTAGCTAATGTTCTCCCGATGCCTTGGAATGGAGCGTTGCGGCGCTTCACAGGTTCCTGTATCGGTAGGAGATGACATGGGAACAATGAGAGTCAGATGGAATACTGATGCACAGAAAAATAGGTTGCTGAAAGAGAGATATATCAACGTACCGGGTAGTCTTCCTCCCTTCTGACAAGGTTAACGTGGACAGAAGTCCTTCTATCTGCTGGTTCAAGCTCGGCAGGGCACTCTGACCTTCTAATACTCTGCCATAATATACACATGTTATCAGATATAAACATCCGTCACAAGTAATATAATTAATAGTGAAAAGAAAATCTAACAAACGTGGATCTTGGATCTAAATTCCATAGCCAAGACTTGAGAGAGTAAAGCCAACTAACACTTTTACAAAGATTTCAAGCATAACAAAACCAACTCGTTGAGGATAGTTGGCAAGGAGTCCCACATCGGTTAAATTAAGGGAATGATCATGAGTTTATAAGTAAGGATTACATTTCTATTGGTATGAGTTCTTTTGGGGAAACCAAAAGCAAGGGGACAATATCATACCATTGTGGAGGTTTGTGATTCCTAACATGGTATCAAAGTCATGTCAATGAAATTCTCAAATATCGAACAAAGAAATCGTGAGCCTCAAAGATGCAGTAAAAAAGTGACTCAATTGTCGAACAAAGGGTGCACTTTGTTCGAGGGTTCCAGAGAAAGGAGTCGAGCCTCAAGAGGTTGTTCGAGGACTCCATAAGCCTCGAGGGAGGCTCTATGGTATACTTTGTTCAAAAGGAGAATGGTTGTGGATTGTTGGTGGGGAGTCCCACATTGACTAATTAAGGGGATGATATGGGTTTATAGGTAAGGAATACATCTCTATTGGGAAACTAGAAGCAAAGCTACGAGAGTTTATGTTCAAAGTGGACAATATCATACCATTGTAGAAGTTCGTGTTTCCTAACATTTATCGGAATTGATAACAAATGAACCTAGCAGGTTATTCAGGACTGGGAAAGTTTGAAGTCCTTTCATCCATAAGAATTATTGAAGTTCTGAAAAGCCAGATCAAATGGCATCCATGGGCATCATTAAAAGAAAATTAACATCTTAGGCGGCAGCATGTCACCTTCAGACAAGTTGCGAGCTCAAAGACCCTTTAAGAGAAACTTAACTTTGGGAACCAAGAACAATACAAAAATGGGGTTTTTAAATACTGTTACCTCTAAAAAAGATGCATTTTCAGGATCATCCAGCCTCAGTAAAGGACCATCATCAACAGAGAATCCATTCCTCCAAAAGGTGACGGTGTGCGTGATAGCCTCAGGGTGCCGAGGAATTGATGGCACCGTCTCACCAGAGAGCAATCTTGCAGTTCCAGTAAAGCTTTTAGAACCTGAAGATGGTTCAATAGGTGCATCGACTGCTGATTGTCTGGCTCGATCAAAGATTGCATCGACAGAATTACCTTTGGCAGGATCTTGGACAAGCATTCCACTGCCAGTGAAAGTAAAATAAAATCATTATGCAATGTCAACAAACTCAAGTGTACTTGTTCCAAAATGTAGGCAACTGAAGATACGAAATCATGTTCCAAGAGAACACTGCGAATCGGAAAATCGATGACATGAACAAATCTGGCTAGATCAACCATCATGAATATTAGAAGGCGAAGAAAAAATCAAACAACATATTGGAAAATTCCAGAACCGGGAGTCCAATGAGCTACTTCAATCCAAATTCCGAACGTACGCTTAATGCAACCAGCAAGAAAGGAAAATTTACATCCCCCTCTCTATTATCCAACATTTTCTCAGAAGTCAATTAGAGTAAATCTTGATGAATAAAAAATCAAACCTACCTCTTCTCACCACCAGTGTAATACTCTTGAAACTCATCAGAGTCGCTATCCGAGTCGTCCTCCGCCGGCCGGTTAAGGTCAGAAAGGGTGCGGATGCGATGCGTCCTGCTCCCAGAAGCCCTATTGTCGACCTTCTTCTTCGCTTCACCTCTAGCTCTCCTCGAACGGAGCTCGTAGGGAGCACGAGAAGCAGGCGGGGAAGGCGAGCGAGAACGCGATGGCGACATAGAAGGAGAAAATTCAGGCGAATCGGGCGGTGGAACTGGGCGAGTGACGGTGGCAGTGGCAGTGGCAGTGGCATCGACGGTGTCGGCGGCATCGGCGGCATGGTTATCCAAGAAGGTGGAAACGGCGGCGTCGAGGTCCCAATTGTGGCTCTCTAAGAAGAAAAGGGCTTCCTCTTTGGAAGAGGAAGTGATCTCGATGAAAGAATTGATGAACGCATCATTTGCAGCTGCATCATTTTGAGGATTCGAGTGTTGAGCTTCGGTTTCCATGGTGGATTTTTCGGTGGCTTCAACTCAAACAAATTGGTTTCCTTCTGATCTGAGATAGTGTGATGATGATGATGATGATGATGGCTTGGAGTTTCGGCAAGGTTCCATGCCCAATTGCCAAATCTGCATCCATTCTTTTTCCAATATTAAAAAATATCTCATCCGTACAACTCACCCAAACGACGGCGTTTAACTAAACACACCCACCTTCTGCTGGCACACCCTAATCTGTGCGTCGTTGAAACGGCGGCGTTTTCAACCGGCGTTGTCCTATTCCTTTCCATCTTACTCCCCCTTAATCTTTAAAAAATATATATATAGGTGTCTAAAGGTATTAATAAAACTTTAAAAAAAAATTTAGAAAAATTTTGAGAAGTTAAAAAGTATTTTTGAAATAAATGTACTCTTAAATAAGCTAGCTAGGTTTTGGTATTTTTTTTTTCCTAAAGTTTTAAGGTATTTTGAAGTTTTTAAAAATTAAAAAAATATTAGTGAAAGTTTAAGAGACAAATTACACATTAATTTAGCCTAAATTCAATGTTGAAATAAATAAATAAATAAATAACTCTTAAAATTTACTTATTTGAAAAAAATTACTCATTTTCTTTATAAATATTTTTCCAATTTTCCTGCCTTTTGAGTTTGAAAACTACAAAAAAAAAAAAAAAAAAAAATAAAAAGAAAANAAAAAAAAAAAAAAAAAAATTAAAACGAAAACTCTGACAAGCAAAAATTGATAAAAATGTTAGAATAAAAATTAAGATCTAGAACATTGGACAATAATTTGGAGACCTAAACACCTCTACATGATTCCAACATATCATTTTAGGTCACCGATCTTTCACTCTTATGATAATTTTGAACATTTATAAAATGTCAAAATTCAAAGATAATCTTACAACTGACATTTTTGAAAAGAAGAGTCAAATTTGCTCGCATCAATGTAATTACTCGCTCATAAAACTCAATATTAGAACTATTAGATCAACTAATTCAATTAATTGTGGGCTATTGAATGTGAAAAATAGTTCTCCTTTCCTTATAAAAGAATCTATGAAAATGCCACTAGGAATCATATCAGGACTAAAATTGTGCTTGAATGCAAACTCCAATAGAAAAATCAAGCAAATAAATCTAATGTACTGGACAAGGATGGAAAACAAGATTTCTGAACAAATAAACAGGAAATATCTATCATGACTGATACTGCATTTATCTGCCTTTATTAAACAATCCTAACTTAAGGTTCTTCATACTATTGGTTCCCACACCTGTCTAGCATTCACCTCCAAAACCAAGTCAAGATTCAGATTATGAAGTAGGAATTGAACAGTTCAAGCTTACATATTCATGCTACAGGTAGATGAAGATGAAATACCAAGAGCTTCAAGATCTTCGGCCCAACACGTTGTTGATGTTTGAAAGCCGAGGAACGACAACAGGTCCTCCACGGACCTTGTCGAGGGCAAAGCTTATTCGCAACGGCCGACCTAATAGTGCCTGAAAGTGATGGGATGACTATCATTTTGACTAATTTAGGATGTTAGATTAAACATCGTCAAACAACTTCTTATTAACTTCTTATTAAATAGTGACTCACCTTTCCATCCATTGCATCTTTTGCAGTTTGTGCATCGTCTTCATTTGTGAAGTTCACAAATCCGAAGCCTCTGGATCGACCTGAGTCTTTATCGTACATTATCCTAACTGTCAAGAGAGTGCATTCAAATCTTAACAGAAAAATATACAAATTTTCATGTTCAAAATCACCCATAAACTAGCTTTTGATCATTCAAAATCAATTTAGTATTAAATTTTAACACTTTTTACACAAGTTTTACGCTATCAAAATTGATTTGGAAGGATTAAAAGCAAACTCTAGAACAATGAAGCATTTCAAATCACTACCAAGCATTCTTGAATCAACTTAATAAGCAATTTGCTAATGCAGTTTCAGAGTGATCAACAATGGATATCAAAGTTCCTTTAGTGATGATTACTGAAGTTTCTCGGTGGCCATTGAGTTTCATCCTAACTATATCAAGTGAATTCCATAGGCTAATTTCTGGAGAAGTTTCAGAGTGATAGCCAATGGGCATCAAGGTTTCTACAATGATCACCATTGATTTTTCACAGCGACCATTCAATTTCATCTAAACTTGTATCAAATGAACTCTATTCTATGTCCATAAGCTATTTTGCTGGAGAAGTTCCAGAGTGATCACCAATGGCCATCAAATTTCTTTCAGCTCAAACATAAATTTTAATTTCCCACCTCTCAAATTCGTTGTACTTCACAGTTCTTCATGCAGAATTTTCAATCTCTAAATTTCTTATTGTCTTGCTGTCTCAATATTCCAAGAATTAACCATAGAAGCATAGTAAAACAGGAAACTTCAATGAAACTCATTTGCTCATCCTGATTTCCACCAGTACCAAGACTCATAAAACAGGAAACTTCAATGAAACAATTTCTTCCTAAAAAATCATTGAATTATGAATGGCAATAAAGCAAAAAGTTTCGACCCAGAAGCACACGTCATGAACTGAGATCTGAAGTCGACTAGACATTTCGTCGAACATGTAGACTACACCTCGTACATCAAGGGCTTAAACTCAACATTCACGATTACCTTCAGTAACCTCCCCAAAGGAAGAAAACGCATCTTTCAAGGATCTCTCGTCCAATGACCAAGACAAACCTGGAAGCGGCAGGAAAAAACAATATCAACATAAACCATTTGAATCATGTTGGGGCAGCATCTGTGGGACGGGATTGCGAAAGAGAAACGAACCTGCAACAAAGAGCTTGTTGTTTGGCGCAGAAGGAGAAGACGAGGGAGCTGAGGAGTAGGAGGAGGAGGATTGAGAACAGAAGCAACGAAAGCTCAGAACTGGGGTTTGAATATTGGTGAGTGCTCTTCTGGCAAGCAACATCAAGGCGTTCGCGTTGCTCATCATTGATTATTGATCGAATTCGCGATGGGAGCTAAAATCCTGCTACAAAAATCACATATAAAAAGCATCAAATTTAAAAATCTAAATTAATATAAAAAATATTCATAAACTTTAATTAAAAATATTTATGAATTAACGTTAACAAATTTTAAAATATTATGAGGTCATAAACTTTCATTAAAAATATTTATGAATTAACATTAACAAATTTTAAAATATTATGAGGTATTAATTGTGAGACGAACCAACACTCCACAATGATCATTTCCTAAATTAGTTGATGTGAGAATTTCATCGTCCAACATTAATAAATAATTTTCTTCCTTAATTGATGATAAAACAAAATTATTTTTTTTTATAAAGATAAAAAATGTTGATTATTTTTTAAATTCATGTGGAACTTTCCTCGTCTAACATTAATAAATATTTTTTCATTCATTAATGGAAGATAAACAATTTTTTTTTTTATTTTTATAAAGATAAGAAAGGTTGGTTAATTTAAAATTTTATAATTATTTTTTAAATATAGAGCTCACATTAACTAAATTATTAAACTTTTTAAAAAAGAAATAAATTATTTGACAATTTCTATCCAAACTTGACAAATATATATATATATATATTATCGGAACTTTTAAAAATTTTAATTTAGAAATATTTTTTTGAGAAAGAAATTCATTCTAAAAATTGGAAAGAAAAAAAAAAAACAAAAAAAAGTTAGCTATCCGACGCCGTTTCTCAGCTCTCTCTTTCCCTCGATATTTTAGTCTCGTCTCTCAGACTCAAGCTTGAGGCTCAACATCGGCAGCTATCAGTCGCTTCCCTTGATTCCTCTCCTTTCTTCTCCTTGAACTGGTAATATTGGATTCTCCACTTTCTTGATTTATGCTTTCTTCCCGCCTTATCTTCTGTTCTTGTTTTTTCTGCTTTCTACTTTACTTGGGGCGGTTAATTTTCATTCTGTATTAGGAAAAATTGATTGTCTTTGTACTAGTTGGTTTATTGGAGTATTATTTAGTTTGAGCTCATTAAGATTGATGGGTTTCCATATCATTCTCAGGATATATCTTTAATTCCCCCCCTCCCCCCTCACTTTTCGTCTGTTTTTCAGACTTTCAGTGACGGACCTTTCATGATGTGGAGATTCCAGTTTCGTGATAATCATGTGTATTACTGTTCTTTAGAATGTGAAAATATTTAGTAAATCAAAATTTGTTATCTTTTAATGGGTAGCTGCAAACCTCATGCTTCGAATGTCCTGTCTGTTTTTTTTGGTTTATGAATGTTTTCGTTTGAATATTACGTTATTCCTGAACTAGGATTTAATTCAATGTTGGGAATGAGATATAATGAAAGTGATATGAAAATCGTAATGAATTGGAATTAGAAACCTGTTGGGTATGTGTTCACCTGGTTCACAAACATCAAAACCTCGGAATCGACTCCGAAACAGATTGCCTTACGATCAAAACTCTTGAGATAAAGAGCAAGTTCCTTGGCCGAAGAATTGAACACTCCACTAGATAGGATGATGAATCCTACTTGAATGTTCTTGTCGTGCAACTCGACGCATGAATTGCAAATTCATGAAGTTCTCTTGTTGGCTAAACTTGAAAGAAGCACAAAGGTTAAAACTGAATTCATCATTATCTGTTTTGTACAACCTAATCGTCAGGATTTAGATTGCCTCCCAAAACCCTGAATACATGCTATGTTATAGAACATAAAAAGTGACTAAAAATAACCCTACTTAATATGTCATAAAAGGATAAAATTACATCAAAGTTATTGGATGAAGTATGAATAATAATTTGATGTCCTTGGTGATTCATATCAGAAAGTTCTTAATCGAACCAAATTGAATTTGTAAAACTGGTTTTAAACTGTCAAAGAGTTTGGTTCAGTTAGCACATTTGGCAAGCTGATCATCATGGTTTTCAGTTTGTGGCTTTGTTGAACCATCCACGTCCCTGCATTAGTTCTATCACAATGCTATCAAGGTTACAGATCTCCTCCTTATCCATTCTGCATTGGAAGTTTTTTGCTTCTTAACATGCGCTTTCACCTTTTTTTAATGTTCCTTATAAGACTGAATGCTGTGTCTATGAAATATCTTATGTAAATTTCAAGCTCTAGATTGATGAAGATGATGTAGTTGAATGCTATATTGAAATGGTTTTGCTTCCAAGCATGCAGTTCTACCGTTTTAATTTTTTTAAACATTGTAGAAGACTTTATTGAAAGCTTCCGGTGGATATAAAGATGAATATATCTATTTGAGATGATGAATCATGGCGTGGATGTGGTTTCTACTTTAAGTTATCATCTATTTCTTTTCATGTTATTTTGTGCAAATAGAGCATTGGTAGAGCTTTCAATCTATTGAAGCTGATCTTTTGTTTAATTGAAAGTTTGTGAACTGCAGAAGTTTTCCCGCCCAACAAATTAGAAGATTTTGTTGAGGTGCTTAGATGAGATTGTTGATATGCTCGCAGAGAAATCTGTTTCTTGATCATTATTTTGTTTTGTAGATTTTTGGAGATCTTTGACATGAATGCCTTCAAGGCCTTCAAAGCCAATGTCCCAATTGCATGGAGTCCTAATCTTTATATCACATTAGTGAGAGGCATTCCAGGAACAAGGAGGCTTCACCGACGTACATTAGAGGCATTGTGTCTCCGGAAGTGCAACCGAACTGTCATGCGCTGGAACACACCAACTGTTAGGGGAATGCTTCAACAGGTTGCTTTTTATACTCATTCTCTACTGCGCACATGCACACACTACAGAACAACCTCATGGTGACTGAATGCCATGATCCCTTTTTCGTTGTTTTGCTTAATTTTATTATAGGTAAAGCGATTAGTAGTGGTTGAAACAGAAGAAATGTATAAAGCTCGTAAACAGAAGGTGGAACAGCATGTGGCCCTCCAACCTCCATTAGTTGTAAATCACCTTCCTGCTCCAAGTTCTGCTTCTGCCTCTTGAAACATGCATTGCTGTTAGATATCAGGTCTACTTCTCATTTATCAGGACGATGTGAGAAGGATTATATTTGAGCAGTGTACTTTTCTGGAATTATTTGATAATCAAGGCTTTTATACCCTATATATCTTGCTGAGTCTAGTTGCTAGCTAAAATAATTTATTGGAATAGTTGCCTGTTTGAAAATGATGCCTATCAAAATCATTTGAGGATTCTACTTTCAGTAAGAAGCCTGCTATGAGACATGGATGTTTACATAAATGAGTGCCGATTTGCACTGGAAACATTATTTGAAATATGCTGAATGGTTTAGATCATATAGAACCTAGGGGAAGACAAAATGGCAGTGGCTTTTCTGCCATTGATGCTGAAAGCATAGGATGGTTGTAGCTACAGGTTTTGAGATATTCAAACGTAGATGCAGGATTTTTAAACTTATACAAGGGACATCTTGAAACACACACTCTTAACTTTCTGTTGCCTTTATGCTTATTGGCCCTTCCACTTCAAGTGCTACCAAGTCATTAGAACTCTTGAGCTCCTCATTGTTGTCTTTAGAGTTGAAGTAATGCTGGTCTTTATACTGATGTTTCCGGGCTAGGACTAGAAAGAAGAAAAAGTTTAGCAGCCCCAACACTGCAAGTAGCCAATAGAAGTAGTTCAAGTTTCCCTTGTTCAAATTACTTCTCAGCCATTGCTTGTTGGTTACTTTATCCACGATTGTTACCAACAAGCTACTAACGAAGAATCCCATGGAAAGAGTGCTAAGAAAAAGCCCTGTGCTCATGGATTTCATTCGTTCCGGTGCTTCTCTGATGAAAAACTCGAGTTGTCCAACATAAGTAAATGCCTCTCCAGCACCAATCAAGAAGAACTGAGGTATTAACCAGAAAGCACTTAGATTACGTTGTCCCAAAGCTAATGTCCTCCTCTCTTTCTCAACAACTCCAGCAGCCACCATGCCAAAAATTGAGAAAACAAGTCCAATTCCAATCCTCTGAAGGCTTGTGAGACCTTGGGCATTGTGAGTCAGCTTTCGTGCAATTGGTATGAATAGTTTCTCGTTCAAGGAAGTGACGAGAAGGATGGCGATGAATAGAAAGGCTGACATAGAACCAGGAGGAATCTCAAAACTACCAACTTTTCTATCCATAAATGATGCTTGCTCTACCGTGAACGTAGTCATTTGAGAGTAGATCGTCCAAAAGAGGATGCCAGTGGACCAAATAGGTAAAAGTTTCAGCACCATTTTCACTTCTTCAACTTCAGTCACGGTCGAGACAATCCATGGATCGTTTCTGTTTTGATCGTTGGCAACATACTCGTCCAGAATTGCAGCCTTGTCAAGACACCTGATATTCACCTTTTCATTAACACCGTTTTCTTTACAATAAAGAGGCAAAAAAAAAAAAAAAAAAAAAGTGTATTTGATGATAGATCTGAAAATAACTTACTTGAACCTGTAGGTGTAAGGAACCTTGGCATTTTGGTAGTCATTTAAGAAGCTGGGATGAGATGGGAGAGGGAGACTTCTCTTCTTCGAAGCCAAAAGAGCCACCCTCCATATCACTGTTAGAGGACTTCCTCTAGGCTTCTTAAACCTGTAAAAGGTTGTCCCACAAAGCAGTACAATCACAGCAATCACCATGGTCCCTCCAGAGATTCCATATCCCCAGCCTCTCCCAACATTGTCTTGTACATAAACCAACACAATGACAGCAAACAAGGATCCAATGCTTATGGCAAAGTAGAACCTATTGAAGAAGAATATCATGGCCTTCTCCTCCTTAGGATCATTGACGTCGAATTGGTCGGACCCAAATCCTGAAACATTCGATTTTATCCCCCCTCCGCCAAGTGCTATAGTATAAAGTGCTGCATAGAGCATGGCAAGTTGCCCACCATTAGCTTCAATGCATTGATGAAGTTGCCTTCTGGAGTCATCACAATGAGGGGGTCGCATGCCAGGGATGGTTGTGGCCAATGTCAACAAAATAACACCCTGCAAAAACCAGCAAGGCTTAGGCTAAATTCTGAACTAGAAATTTC